TATCAATATGGGCCAACATTTCTAAAGAATGCTTTCAGCACCTTGTTGAATCAATGCCACGTAGAATTAAGGCAGTTCTGAAGGTGAAAGGGGGTCAAAGTATTAGTATGGTGTTCCTAATAATCCTTTAGGTGAGTGTATATCGGCTATCAATGAGATTTTCCAAGTTAGTGCTGGTGCTTGTGGTCAACCAATCAACAATTTTTTTGCGAAAGCCCTACCCAGTAGTTCCTGGTTTAGTGAAAAGTACGTACTCCAGAGTAGGGACTAAACAAAGGTTCAGGAGCCACAACCGGCAAAAGTTCCTGTGATGGGAATGTGATAGGTTCCTGAAAAAGGTTCTGGTTCCTGAAAAAAAATCCTGCAGCAGGAAGTGCCTAATATGTCAGGTTAAGAATCATATGGTAATAGCGCATGATTTTTGCATATCATACAAATATTAAGAACGAGAACCAAGGCAAACTGAAATTCTCTAATTTATCATAATAAAGTACAGTACATGAGAACTTAACAAAATTAACAGAAGTCTTCATCTAACTACTATATACTGTAGGGTTGTGTATTGGCCAGAATCTGGTGATACCATATGTATTATGATATAGAGATTAAGATTCAATATTTTGCAATATTTTGTAATTTTTTTTTTATTCTAATTTTAGATAAAATTTTGTGACTGTACAAATACAATGAGATGTAATTTTAAGCATGCTAGTAGATGCCATTAAGGATAAAACTATCAAAAGAGTAACACTTGGACTATAAGTACAGGTAAGGTAGATTATGAAATATTATATAATATACTGTATATACATGCTAAATAAAGAAGAATAAAAATTAAGAGTGCAAAGCAATCATTAGCACATCATTTTTAGATTAATTTCACACAACAAAAATGTAGCATTGGTGAGCGCTGGGCTTCTGTGCCTGTGAGCGCTGCCATCTAGGTTCACAGTTCACAGGTTATATTGTTATGTTTGAGTGGAAGACTCAAATGGCTGAAGATCTATACACCCAGCGACAAAGTTAAGCATCCAGAAGTAATGGTCTGATTTGGATGTATTTTGGTACATGTGGAGACCAGCAATGGGTATGTAAATGACTCAGTTTGGAAGGAGCTGGCATGTCTAGTCACCAGACACAGAGAATGCCTCGTAGACTTATTAGACAGCATTACCAGCACTTGACAGAGTTTGATAGGCGTCACATTTTGGGTTTGCATGAGGCCAGGTGATCGTATAGTGCAATTTCCCAGTATGTGGGGCATATAGATGTCAGGCGCTCGATGTTGGAACCAATGGGCATCTGAGGGCACCCACACATGTCGTGAAGGTCCTGGTCGCCCAAGATAAACCACACCAAGGGACGCTGTCGTATTGTGCGGCAATACACAGGTATTAGATTTTCTACAACACCTTGTGTCATCCTGCACCATGTCTTGACGATTGCCATCAGCTGGATTACGGGTTCACCGTCCCATGCGTAGGCTGCCGTTAACACCAGTGCAGGGACGGCTGCGTTTGGAGTGGTGCCGTAACTGGGAGGCATGGATTGATGACGAGTGGCGTTATACCATGTTCAGCGATGAATCTCGGATCTGCGTTACCACGGATAACCGTCGTGTGCGCGTATGCCAGTGCCAAGGGGAGAGGACCAATCCTGCCAACGTTGTGGAGAAACACATCGGTGTCCTGGCATCATGGTGTGGGGAGCCATAGGGTATGACTTCAGGTCATCTCTGGTAGTGATTCACCCTACTGACATGGGATCAGCAATGTTCCCATATCGCCAACTCTGTTGCCCATTTGATCTGATATTATTATGCAGTCACATTACCGTTCACCACATGCAGATTCATTTAATTTCTTCAACTCCATCTGGGTGCTTCACTTTTTTCGTCACTGAGTATAGGATTACAGCTCAGACAACACAAAATGAACCACTGTCTGCCACAAATCTTTGCATGTAAACTACTTTTTAAAAATCCATACAGATGTTTGAGAGAATGGATTCAGTATCACAAAATACAATATAGTGATACTACAACCCCAAATTGCAAAAAGTTGGGACGGTATGTTAAATTAAAATCAAACTGAAAACAGTACTTTGTTAAATTATCTTTGACCTGTATTACATTGAAAACAATACAACAGCACATTATTTAATGTGTTCCTCATGAATTTTATTGTTTTTCTCAAAATAAACATGTATTCCAATTTTGGTTCTTGCAACACATTTCAAAAAAAGTTGGGACAGGAGCAATTTAGGACTAGTAATGAGGTAAATTGGTTAAATAATGATGTGATTTGAAACAGGTGATGTCACCAGGTGATTGTAATTATGATTTGGTACAAAAGCAGCATCCAAGAAAGGTCCTTTAGGAGCAAAGATGGGCCAAGGATCGCCAGTTTGCCAACAAATACGTGAGAAAATTATTGAAATGTTTAAAAACAATGTTCCTCAAAGAAAAATAGGAAGAGATTTGGATATTTCACCTTCAACAGTGCATAACATAATTAAAAGATTCAAGGAATCTGGAGGAATTTCAGTGCGTAAAGGACAAGGGCGCAAGCCTAAGCTGAATAACAGTGATGTCCTATCCCTCAGGCGGCACTGCATCAAGAATAGTCATTCGTCTATAAGCGATATGACCACATGGGCTCTGGACTACTTTGGCAAACCTTTGTCAAGTACCACAATACATAGTTACATCCACAAATGCCAGTTAAAACTGTACTGTGCCAAAAGGAAGCCCTATGTTAACAGTGTCCAGAAGCGCAGTCGACTTCTCTGGGCTTGGAGGCATCTGGGATGGACCATCACACAGTGGAAATGTATACTGTGGTCAGATGAATCAGTATTTCAGGTATTTTTTGGGAGAAATGGACGCCGCGTGCTCCGGACCAAAGAAGAAAAGGATCATCCCGACTGTTACCAGCATCAAGTCCAAAAGCCAGGGTCTGTCATGGTATGGGGTTGTGTCAGTGCCCTTGGCAAAGGTAACTTGCACTTCTGTGATGGCACCATTAATGCTGAAAAGTACATAGAGATTTTGGAGCACAAAATATGCTGCCTTCAAGAAGACATCTTTTCCAGGGACGCCCATGCATATTTCAACAAGACAATGCAAAACCACATTCTGCACACATTACAAAGTCCTGGCTGTGGAGGAAGAGGGTACGGGTACTTGACTGGCCTGCCTGCAGTCCCGACCTGTCTCCAATAGAAAATGTGTGGGGCATTTTGAAGCGCAAAATGCGACAACGAAGCCCCCGTACTGTTGCCCACCTTAAGACAGGAATAATGGGACAAAATTACACCTGAAACATTTCATCACTTGGTGTCTTCAGTCCCTAAACATCTTTTAAGTGTTGTGAAAAGGAATGGCAACATTACAAAGTGGTAAATGCTTTACTGTCCCAACTTTTTTGAAATGTGTTGCAAGAACCAAAATTGGAATATGTGTTTATTTTGAGAAAAACAATAAAATTCATGAGGAACACATTAAATAATGTGCTGTTGTATTGTTTTCAATGTAATACAGGTCAAAGATAATTTGACAAAGTACTGTTTTCAGTTTGATATTAATTTAACATACCGTTCCAACTTTTTCTGATTTGGGGTTGTATAACGAACAAAATTTTCTTACACCCCCAAGTATACTGTGAAACATTTTTTGTTAAATTATCACCCAGAATATTTTTTTTTCTATGCAGTGTAAAATAATTAGGTTAAATCGCTTTGAAGAATTAAGACCCCAGGAATTTCAGAATGGGCTCCCAGCTTACTCTGTAGACATTAGAGATGTTAAATATCAATATAAGTTAAGGGAATGTTTTTAAGCACAGCCACCTAAGTCATATATCATTTGTCAGACAAGGTGCCATGATACCAGGAAATTTCCATATGAAGGGCAAACGACAGACATTTGGTTCCCAACATTTTTGTTTTGCATGAGCATTCCATAAATTTCTTTAACCTTAATTAATAGTATGGATTTAATAGGATGCTTATTTGAAACCCAGGTAATTCTTTCCCACTAAATTTAATTAGCAAAGATTCTTCCAAACTACTTTATGGGGAAAAGATTGTGCTAGTTTGTTGTTCATTTGTTATGTTTATTTGGTTAAATTACCCAGTGGGTGATGATGCGTGATAATTTCTTTTATCCTCTCCCAGGATAAAAACATAAACCTCTCATCTAAAAATGTTTAGGTTCAGCTTGTTTGAATTAATATTTCTATTAAATATCTGCATGAAATTATTTGTCAGAAGGCAAATATTTATATAAAACAAGCAATCTAAAATTTTCTTCCAATTATGATTACAGATTATCAAAATTTGCTGTGGAAATTATATATGCAAAGGATATATTACTGATAGTCACTATCAAAAAAGCAAAAAAGAATCAATATAATTTTTGCTATATATATATATTTAATAACCAAGTAACTCATTGGAGTAATTCAAATTTAGCAGCAGTAGAAAATAAGAGAAAATTGCAATTACCTGGATATAACGCAAAGGTAAATATTCTAATAGTTTACACCATTAATCAAATACAAAGAAAGCAGAATCACAGAAACTTGCTGAGCTTGCTGGTGCAGATTAGTGGAATGACGTTATGTTGTTTTTTTATTCTGTGGAAAATGAAAGATTGATCTGCGAGCCAGATTTAATAATGAATTCTAAACTGGTCTGTAAACAGGCTGGTACGTTGACACATTTTCTAAATGAATGAGCTGACGAAATCCCTCGTCTTCCATTATGGAAATGGCTGATTTAGTAGTTGTGTCTTTAACTCTGGTGCTGCTAACTTTGAATCTTGATAAAGTTTAAATACTGGCTGGCAGCATCAGCCAAGGTTGACATGTTGGACTGATGCCAATATCTTGATTTTTAATTAATATCAGCTTATGCTAATATGTTGTACATCTATAAGGCTAACATTGATTTTTACTTAGCTAGCTAGTTAGCTACTGCAGGGTCTTGACCATTGCTATGCTAGCTTGCAAAAGAATGACCTTTTTGCATTGCCAACAGAGGCATTTCCCAAAAGCATTGTAGTACAAAGATTATCTAAACTATTAGAATGAGCATTCTGTGCTGCAAAATGGGTGTTTCCTAAAAGCATTGCAGCACAAAGATCATCAGGTAGCACTTCATTTATGAATCACCCTTTCCTTGCCATCCTGTGTTTTGGAAATTTATATGCTGACAATGTAACTTTGTGCATCTGCTTGCAGCACGTGAACATAACAGCATGCAATCCAGAAGGAGTATTTTTATTTTATCCCCCAAAATCAATTCTGACTTTACAAATCAATTTATTGAGTCGTCACCTTAATAACTGATTCATCACGATGCATCAATGCATCTTTACACCCCTAATAACTATTTTTATTTATGTTTTTGGTTGTGTTCATCTTCTTATCAAGGGGAAAAAAGAGTCCAAACATAGCAAGATGCATGGAAAACAAATACTATTTGGGCACTTTTCACTGCACCAGGTACTGTATTTTTGGTATGATACTTTTGGTACTTAATCTTTTCCATTGACTTCTGGTCAAGTACCAGTACCAAAAGTACCAAACCAGCTGGGGTACTTTTTAGGTACTTTGGTACTTTTGCGGTGGGACTTGCAAACATGTCCATTTTCGACTGGTTAAGCAAATACCTGTCTCTGAAACAATACAACCACCAACTTGAAAAAAGTTAGCAACTCAGAAAACAGCGATAAATGAAGTAAAAAAAAAACAATAAAGTTATGCATGGACAAATCAAGACTCAATATTTAATTGCAATTTTGGTTGGAAGAATCAGAAGAAGATCTGGATGGCATAACGAAATAAAAAAATTATTTGCTATAATATACATGATATTGGGGAAAAAAGATTAAAATATCGTGATGTGAGCAAAAAGGAGTTAGAAATTTCTCACAAATGGATGAAAATTATTGAAAAGCACATGCAGAGTTTATGCAAAAGCAGGAGCTCTAAGCTTTAAATTGTGATGTTATTCAACAGCTTAATCTGACTATTCTAACCATATTTTTATTGTTACAGGTCTAATGTGTTTCCTGTGGGAAATGCCATAAGGTCAAGAGAAGGTTTGACTCTAATGTTCGAGTAAGCAAAGTAAACATCAAGGAGAGAACTTACCACAGCCTTGTCAATGCCACATGATCATTCTAGAAGACAAGAAGATGCTGATACATTTGAATTTTGGTAAATAAATGCCCATGCACAAATTACTGCTGCTCAAAGGAAGAATAAATAAAAAAAAATCAAGACTCTGAACACAGAAGATTTTTATTAAGCAAGAAACAAAGTGCTGCTAGTCCTGTGCTCTAGGCTATGATGTTTCGTGACCAGGTTGGTGTCCTGAACAGTTGGTTCAAGGGGTGGAATGAGTGTGAACAGACTGTAGCCTTGCTGTCGCTGCTGAAGCGTGTTAGTCGGACGCAGGCCCGCTTTCTGCAGCTTTGCCTGGAGCATTCTCTTGCAGAATGCACCGAACTACATGTACTGGAGGGAGAGGCCAACAACCCAGGTGAGTAAGAATCATAAGCAATTCTCTATTGGTACTTATTTTTGTCTGTGCAGTGGAAAAAAGTTTGTAAAAATGCATAAATATATAAACAGCGCAGGTCTTCAAGCAGTCACATCTAATGTGAGTAAAATATGTTGTAAACTGTCATTAGAACTCTTTAATAATTACAGTATATGTGTAGCACATTTGTACATTGTAAGGGAACTGTAAACTTAAAAAAACAAACTACTAGTCAACTGAGGCATTTTTTTGAAAAAGATAAGCTGTGCTGCCTATACCGTGCCTGAATATAAAAAGTTCAGTAGGGTTTAACCTCACGTTAAGTGTGAATTCTTTGTGTAGCCTGTGGATGAAGCACAGATGAAATGGTGTGTTTGTCTTGATCTATGCCCAATTTATTCCCCTTGTGCATTTTTTCTAATTTATTTTGTTCAAGCATTGTGAAACACTTTCTTTGGTTGGATTCTCCAAATCAAAACATACATTTACATGATTTTATGCCATTCTCAGCAGAAACGTATATAAATAGCAAAAAAGAAGCAAAATAGTAGCGGGGAATTTTATACTTTTGAAATAATCCATAATTTTTGGTAAATTGAGTGAGTAGGTAAATAAAACTCTTGATGCCGAGTGCTACTGATATGACTTTTACATGGTTGACTGAAACATAAAATGTTTGAATAAGGAAAGGGAGGAGAAGTAGGAAATGTAGAGTAACCTCTATACTGTAAGTATGGCTTTTGTGCTTGTATCCACATAGTCTCAGGTGATGGTGAATTGCAATCTATTTACCAAAAATTATGTATTCTTTCAAAAGACTGAGTATGAAATTCCCCGGCACTATTTTGCTTCTTTTTTTTTTCTGACTACACACTATTTCATCTGTGCTTCATCCATAGGCAACACAAAGAATTTACACTTAACGTAAGGTTAAACCCCTACTGAACTTCTCATATTCAGGCATGCTATAGGCAGCACAGCTTATCAAGTAACATTCTGAGGGATAGCTAACATGGATTTAGGAGAGGTAGGTCCTGTTTAACTAATCTACTTGAGTTCTTTGAGGAAGCTACAAGACAAATTGATCACAAAAAGGCTACTACGTGATCAACTTAGATTTCCAGAAGGCCTTTGATGTTGTCCCCCACGAACGGCTCTTGCTTAAGCTCAAAGCTGCAGGGATTTTAGGAACTGTAGCAGCTTGGATCGAAAACTAGTTAACAGACAGGAAGCAGCAGGTAGTTATTAGAGGCACAATGTCGCAGTGGGCCTGTGTTCATAGTGGGGTACTGCAGGGTTCAACTTTAGAACCATTATTGTTCCTAATTTACATTAATGATATTGACACCATACAGTAAACTGGTTAAATTTGCAGAGGACACCAAAGTGGGTGGTGCAGCAGATACTAAATCAGCAGCACAGAGGCTACAACAGGATCTTGATTTAATTAGCGACTGGGCTGATACCTGGCAGATGAAATTTAACGTAGATAAATGTAAGGGAATCCATGCAGGGAGCAGAAATATAAAGTACAGATATTTTATGGGTTCCACTGAAATAAAGGTAGCTGAATATGAGAAAGACCTCGGTGTGTATGTTGATGCTTCCATCTCCCACTCTCACCAGTGTGGGGAAGCAATTAAAAAGGCCAGTAGGATGTTGGGTTACATCTCTAGGTGTGTGGAGTTTAAGTCAAGGGAGGTGATGCTACGATTATACAATTCCTTGGTAAGACCCCACCCAGAATATTGTGTGCAGGTTTGGTTACCATAGCTTAAGAAGGACATTGCTGCCTTAGAAAAGGTTCAATGTAGGGCTACAAGAATGATTCCTGGTCTTAGAGGAATGTCTTATGAGGGGAGGTTAGCTGAGCTGAATCTGTTCAGCCTCGCACAAAGGAGATTAAGGGGGACATGATCCAGGTATATAAGATTCTAACAGGTCTCTGTGCTGTTCAGCCAAATGGCTGCTTTAATATTAGTTTAAATACTAGAACTCGTGGCCATAGGTGGAAATTAGCGGGAGAATATTTTAAACTGAATTTGAGAAAACACTTCTTTATACAGGTAGTTAGAGTATGGAATAGTGTAGTGCAAGCTAAAACCCTGGATTCCTTTAAATCAGAGCTAGATAAGATTTTAACAACTCTGAGCTATTAGTTAAGTTCTCCCCAAATGAGCTTAATGGGCCGAATAGCCTCCACTTGTTTATAAATTTCTTATGTTCTTCTAAAAGTTAAATATTCATGTTCCTTAACTTTATTATCTGGAATTATACATTTGATTTGCTTATATGTTGTTAATTATGAAGCATTTGTTATTTGAAGTGTTTAGTCTTTTTGCTGTTTGACAGAAACAGGTAACAAATATGATACATTGACAGAATGGGAAGGTATATCCCAGGAAGCACAGAGCCTTTTTCCACCAATGTCGTGCTGGTGCCAAACTGCTGCCTAATTTGGAGCTAGTTCTATGCTTTTCCACTGCCGATTACCTGTGGCATTCTTGAAAAACTGGCTGTGGCCCATCATCAGAGAATTGCCAGTCTGAAACTGATGTCGGCATGAGGGGAGGGGCTGCAATGCTCTGTAAACTTCAGCAGAGTCGCATTCATTGCCAGTATTTGATGTTTTGTTGGATTTTGGTGTTTGCTGAAAATATGCAGAAATTAAAGCAGAGCTGGGAAAAGCAGGCTACATTTGTAGTATGCAGCAAATTAAGATTTTTTTAATTGACTATCCAAACTACATAAAAGAATTCTCACAAAGTGGCACAGAATGGAAAGACTTTAAAAGAGCCTGACTGTTCTGTATTCATTGTTGGCAGGCAGCCTCCATAATGCAACTGTAACACGTTTTCTTATGGGTAACCACAATCAAAAATTGGTGCTTACTGTCCGGAGTATATGGTCGAGGCAGTGACATACATAGTCAAATGACGCTGATTAAACTGAAGTTTTGGATGAACTGCATGTGATTGAATCCATGGACAATTGTGATCAGTTGATGGCTTGGTGATGGATATGCCCAGACAACTGGTAACGGCTGTCTTCTGTACAACTGCAAAATCTATATAGCATACATGCTGTGAATAATTAGTTATTAATTAATAATACTTTGTAATGTAGCTAGATAATGTTTTGTGAAAAAGAATGTTTTGACAGTTAGAATTAGTCTAAACATTCTCTGTCAGAACACATCATTTAATAAACTCAAATATGTGCCTATTGTCGTGTACAAACCTGCCATCTGTTATTCATGTTTTTAACCAGAGGAAATGCAAGCCAGTTCTCAGGTTCTGTCACTTCAGCACCACCTAAGGACCAGCACCCTTTCAGCACCGGCACAAGCACCGGCATGGCACTAGTGGAAAAGAGTTAATGGAGGTTTGAGGGGACTTTGATGGAGTATCCTAAGGGAACCAGAGCAAACATGGAGAGAACAGGTGACTGTATACACAGTGCCTACTATTCAAAAACATCACATAAATACATCACGTAATACATCAATACATCACATAAATACATCACGTAATACATCAATACATCACATAAATACAAAAACTGACACTTTTTTTTTTAATGAACTAGAATCAGTGCAGTCAGAACTGACATTACTGTATTCCCCAAATAGCCCCTTCGCTTGCTCCACCCATCTAAGCTGTACTTGTGCTACATTCACAAACTTGTACAATTTTTAGAAGTCTTGGATGGATCACCTGGAAATGTGATTAGTTAATAAATGTGTTTTTACGTGAATGAGTCCTTGTGGTGATATGTAAATCTTGCACATTCCACATATATGACAATTAACAGAATCATTTGCCATTAGGTAGTTACTTGTATTCCTTTGCGTATGTTTTAAGATCCGTATTTGAAAATGTCATTTATATTAATATTCTTGATATGTTTGAATATTTATTTGTGTTTTGCACTATGACCAAAATTTTCTGCAACGTAACAGTAAGAATTGTAACAGATACACTACTGGTATATAAGGTCTGGATGGACCATGGATTTTTTTTTTCTCCATAGGCACATACATTCCTTGCTTTGTGGGTAAAAAGGGAAAAAAAAATGTCTTCGGCCCCTTCAGGGCCCCATATATACTATTGTATCTGTTACGGTTCTTACTGTTATGTCAAGAGACTTTTTGGTCATAGTGAAAATGAGAAATAAATAGAGGATAAATGTTTAAACAAAAAAATAAATGACATTTTCAACATTAAAACAAATTCAAAGCAATATAAGTAACCACCTAACTGGTGGAGAAAGATTCTGCAAATTATAAGTCAAATGTGCAGTAAATCAAGTACACATTCACGTCTAGATAACGCAACAAGGACTTTCAGCATTCAGGTAAAGACACATCTATTAGCTTTCAAATTTCCAGTACTTCCATTTAGTACTTCTAGAAATCGTACAAGTTAGTGAGTGTTGGACGAGCACACATAGGCAGAGAGTGATGCTGCTGTCCATGGAAAACAATGCTGTTGTTTCCAACAGCCACGTTTCCAGTTATTCATTAAAAATGTCATGTGTGATACTACATATGGGCTCTTGACTAGATCCAACCTAGTTTATGTAACTGAATTAATCAAGATCACTTTATGCTTGCTTCGTATTAATATCCCATGAAAAGGAGCTGTATTTTATAGACTGCATGCGTTTAGTGTTTGTTTGATTCCTGCAGTCTACAACGTATTTTGACTGGCAAATTGCTTATGAAACTGTGGCACTTTTCTTCAAGCTTGAAAAACAAAATTAAAGTAAACTGCAGACTAAGTAAATTGCTACACAGAATGTGTCCCTGTGGAGTTTCAGAAGCTCCACACCTGAGCTAACTTATCAGAATAAGTGAGTATTGAAAATGTATGGAATCAGCATTTATATACGTCATGTTTAAGTAAGTTTTAGATACCAGTAAGGAGTTTTGGTTAATGTTGAGATCAAACACTAGAATGGGGGGGGGGGAAAGGTGATTTAACTGACTTTGAACATGA